TTATTTTTATATATATATATATATATATATATATATATATATATAATTTAACATATTCTTCAATTTTCATTAACGAAATCAAACCAAACTAAGGAAAATGAATCTCACGTACAAGTTTAATTTATGTTATAATTTATGGACTTATATATACATGTCTAAATTATAACTATTATTGCTTTGTGGTCAAACTTAGTACCTATTTATTATGCTTTGATTAACATTTTTAAGAAATATGTGGTTGACTAAGACAGTAAAAGAAAAAAAAAAGTTAAATATGAGTTCGTTGAAAACATATGTTTTGCAAAAATCGAATGAATCAAACCAATAAAAGTTAATCTGGTTTTTTTTTTTTGGAGAGAATTTGATTAAGTTATTAATTACAAACAAATCAATTTACACTTTTTAAAAATAAAACACTGATTAATTTAACTTGGTGAACTATTAATTTCTTTAAAATCAAACTGAACTAATTAATCATGAATATCCTAGCTACCTGATAGGGATTAACCATTACAAAGAAAATATGGATTGTTTGTTCTTACAAACTTGAGAATGGTAGATAAAATTAAAAATTATTTTTATTTATAAATATTTACTGTAGGTTAAACTTAAATATTTGTATTTATAGTTATTTGTTGTAAGTAAAACTTAAAAACTCATTATATAACTCACATAATAGATAGATAAATTATTTGTAGATCAATGTAAAAAAATATTTACCTGCAATTTTTATTTTTAGTGAGAATTTTTGTCCTTGTAATTATAGGATGAGTTTTAGCCATTCAAAATCCATCTTATTTTTTGCACAACCTAAACTTTATTTAAATATTGATTTATTTATTTTTATAATGATCACAATAAGTTTGAAATTTATAGATATCATAAAAAAATACTTAAATCTTTCCTTACAAAACTGACTCTAATGAATTAATTTAAATATTAATTAGTATAAGAGACCGATTGCAGACAATTTTTAAAATATCGGTCCTTAGAGTTAAGATTTAAGAGTTAAATCTCTTTTAACATTTTGATAACTTTTTATTATATTTTTACATGACACATCAGCATTACGTCATCGATGTCAGATTATCTATCAATATCATGTTAACAAAATTTGTCATTAGCTAACGCCACATCAAATTTATTAAACTTTAATAAAAAATTAATGGATGAACTATAATTGTACCTAGGTGACAATTGCTCAATTGAAAAATTAGTGGATCAAAATTACTACTTTAAATTATATATTATCTTATAATTTTTATTCTTTTTCTTATTTTACTTTTCATAATTCTCATAAATTAAATACCTTTAAAATCTACCATATTTATTTGTATCCTATTTATCTCTTTCTTATTTTTGTCCATCTACTTTCTTTTTACTAAAGATGGCAAGTTATTATTATTATTATATTTTTATGATGAGTGTTCTAGAACCTAACTTAATTTAATTTTTTTACCTTTAAATCTTAATAACAAAGAAAAAAAAACATTTTTGATTAAGACAACAAATTTGTAATTCAACTTTCTTCATTTCAATTCCTTTCAAGGGTGTTCAATTCTGCGGACTTTTTTATTATAACATTAAATGATTACTCAAATTTCGTACCTTAAAATATATTTACTAAACTATTATCCTTACTTATGTTGAAAAATTGATCATACTAATTAATTAATTTCTCATCTGAACTTTTCATATTCTTTTTTTTTTTACATTGGTAAATTCATTAATATGTAATCAAATTTTTAACTGCAGTTTTTTTTAAATTATTCTTTTAATATAATATATATATATATTTTATTTAATTTATTAACTTAAAAAATAATTAAAATTAGTTAATATAAATGAATTTAATTTTTTATTTTAGCAATTTCTATTATAAATGTGGGATTTTTTAACAATAATTAATAAATTTTGTAATATATGTATTTGTTAGATTATTAAAAGAAAATAAATATTTTTATAAATATTTTAATATATTATAAATGATAAAATTAAAATTTTACATAACATATGAAATTATTAAAATTGACTTTTCATAAAAATAATATGAAAAACAAAATAAAAGATGCAACAATGAAATATTTTAAAGAAATTATTATTGTTGTTGACTAAAAGTTTCCACACAATAAGAATATTTTTTCTTTGTATAACTTGAATTCTTACACATGAAATATCTTTTCACTTTATGAGGTTTTTTGATCATATATCCCTTTATGTACATATACATGAGGATTTTAGATGTCTTTTTTTAATTTCTTTCATGTCCAAATTGTGATAGATTTATGGTTCATTTCATTGTGACTAATATTATTTATTGTGCAACTTTTCAATAAATCATTTGTATACGTTGGAGATGTATTCTAACATGTAAGTTGGATATATGTAAAATGTGTAATCATGGTAAACAACACGTTTAAAAGCAGCAATGATATGTGAGTAAAATATGTGTAATTTTTTAAATTTGTCGCAATTACACCATGTTTTATTCAATCTGATTATAAATTGTCTAGTTAGTCATCTCTCTCTTGGATTAAACATTTCTTGTACCAAGAAACATGTATTGTATTTGTCGAACTCAAGCAAATGGTGAAAGTTTGTCTTTGTTTATATATCTGTTATTGCCTTATTTAATATTTTGAGTAAACTAGGTCATATCTCAATTTAACTGTAACTTCTATTCATCTTTAATTGAATAAATTGTTACATCTTTGATAAGCCAATAGAATTAACTCTATAATTGGTAGGTTTATGATTTTTCTAAGTAATTGTTTGTACTAGATTTGTGGTCATATACTCCCACCTTAACCTCTGACCCATTTATATTGTTAAGATAAAAATAAAATTTTATTATATATTGACCAATTTTAACTAAATTTTAAGATAATAAATTAAATAAATAATACATGTTATATAAAAATAATAATATTACACTGTGTGTGCTTACGGTCCTGACTAAAATTATCCATTATTTTTAAAAATAGATATTTCGCATCAATATCATAATTATCTAAAAATATAAAAATAATAATATTAAAAAATGAAATTATAAAAAAAATTGCAATTGGAAAATCAATTACACCAATTTCTCAATAAAAAAATAAAAGAAAAATACATATGAAATTAGTTGGTGGGACAAATTTCTCAACATAATAATAAACATTACACTTTGATAAATATATTTCAAAATATGATAATTTAATAATTTTTTGTAATATTATAATAAATAAATAAAAAGTCTTCAATTTACCTCTGACTTAAACATCCTTAATAAAAAAAACAAGTTCTATCAAATCAGCAACAAAATAACGTAGTATATATGAAGACAGAGGGACCCAAAATTATTGTACTGAGAAAATTGTGGTTGGACTGTTTCTAGAAGTCAAATCGCTGACACTAAGGCTGAGGCCAATATAAATTTTAGCCATTATGAGCATAGACAATGAAAAATTAATGTTCTTGCTATTATCTCACAGCAACCATTATGACTTCTCCTTTGTTTCAACATTCAGATTGGGGCACGTTGAAGGAGCCTTCGGAGATTTTGTTTGAATCATTTTCAAGCAAAGGTATTGATCATGATTATGACCCTTTTCATGACTATCTTTCCTTTGATATGATTGACTACTCAAGGGATCCACGGGAACCATGTGAAGTGATTGAAGTGCAAACTAAGAAGTCTTATGTTGGGGTGAGGAAAAGACCATGGGGAAAATTTGCAGCAGAAATCAGAGACACAACGAGGAAAGGTGTGAGGGTGTGGCTTGGAACGTTTGATAGTGAAGAGGAAGCTGCTTTGGCTTATGATCAAGCTGCATTTTCCATGAGAGGCTCCAGTGCAGTGCTGAATTTTCCTGTCAAAAGGGTCAAAGAGTCTTTACAAGAGATGAATTATTCAGGTTGCAGGAAAGGGTGTTCTCCTGCATTAGAACTCAAAGCGAGGCACAATATGCGACGAAAATTGTCATCAAAGGCTAAGAAAAGTAAAGGGAAACAAGAATTGGAGGAATCAAGTGTTGTGGTGCTAGAGGACTTGGGAGCTGAATACTTAGAGGCACTTCTTAGCATATCGGATCAAAGTGCAAGCTCTTGATGTTTAAGTAAAAGAGAAATTCTATGGTATAATTTGTTGTTGTTGTTTGGACACTCTTTTCTTCTGTTCCACTTGAGCCCAAAAATGACTGTATAAAATACCTTAAATTTCTCTTGATACTATATATCAACTCACTTGAATAAATTTGTTCTGATGAGATTTACTCTTCTTATGTTGAAGCTTCTCTCATGCTTCCTATTCTTCTTTTTTTCCTTTTCTCCAACACCATTTCATGGCCTTTGATCCTTTTAAAGTTACAATACCTTAAGAGGGCAAACCCAAAGTACATGGAAAGGCTTTCAAAATATATTTGTTTGTTGTTATATATATTGCATAGTTTCAAAAATTTAAAGATAATTGTCTGTTGTGAATCCTGGATAATCTCTTAAACTCATGCATTCAAGGCCAAGAGATCGAAATGGAGTCTAACAAACTTTTGCCCGTCGGTGTGTCATCTGCATTCCTGACTCGATAATTTATAAAGAGCACAGATTATGTATTCAATAGCCAACAGTCAAAAATGGTAAAATAAATTAATTATCATCAAAAATAATAAATCACTTCGATCATTATACGGAACAAGTTTCAATATTAATTTATAAGAATTTTCTACGATAAAAGCTCTTTATTCGTGATAGAAAAACTCTTTTAATCAAACAAATAGTTTATTTGGATAAATTTTTTTAGAAACACTTTTAGAAAGAAAAAAGAAAATAAATTTATTCATATATAAACTAAAATTAGCTTATTCAAAACATAATTGGTAGAGAAATTTTCTCACTATATATAAACAAGTGTTAGCTTATGAAAAATTGTTTCATTTTTTCTTTTTATTTTTTTTCTCATAAGTGTTTGTGAAATAATTTCTCTAAACATACCTTAATAAAACATAATGACAGTTAAATGCAGCTATTCAAGCAATTATTATAATAAAAACAGACTTAATTGGATAAGTTTCACCCCTCTAAAAAGGTATTCGGTATGCAAAAAAGAAAATCAAATGAAATTTAGGATTGCAGGTTCGAATCAATATACCTACTGAATCATGCAACATTTGATTTTCATGTGCTATAAACTTAAAGATGATGAAGTAGCTAGTATCTGTAACTAATAATTAAGGATATATAAGCAATTTTGATATTCAATTTTTCTTTTTTTACAAATTACCATTTAACAGCACATGCTTATTTTGTAGAGATAACTACACACTCATTCTCTATTCGACTTCCTCTTTATAAATGAAGAGAAACATGGAGACATGGAGTAACTCTCTTTCTCGCTAGTATAAATTTTAAGTGAATCTACATTGAGAAAATTGTTAAGATTTTTCCTTAGGGCATGTTAAGCAACTAAACTATACTACATATAAATCTTGATATGTGTCTCCCAAAACAAAAGACAAGAAGGCAATAAAAAGCATAAATGGGTTGGTGAGAATGAAATACCCAGGTTCCTTTTGAGCCGATATATAGGATTTGATTTTCGATGGATCTCAATGCTCACATCTTCTTCTGTCCCTCCGTTTGTACCAAATAGTTAATGAAAACGAACACTACTTAAATAGAATAAGAGTCAAAGAGAATAAGACTTATACTCAAAAAGGAAGTATCTAGATAAGTGTGTTGTATTAGGAAAGTTAGGAGAACAAACTATAATTTTATATAAGTAAATTCAGCACGACTAATTAATTATGAACTATCTTAACAATAACATTTCAGTGGAATGTTTAGGTTTGGAATTGGATTAACATAAGTAAGAATATGCCCTATCAATTAATGACTTAAAGATACACGTTCATCAAATCCTAATAAAATCAGCCTCCTTATTTACAGGAATAATTCTGTAAATGATATGCCAATTTACCTTCTCTAAACCTTACTAAGTGAAAATATATGTGCACTAAATTGCACTGGTTTATATTTTTTGCACGTTCAAATCATATAAATAGTCCCTCATTTACAGAGGTAAAATTACATATATCTACTTATATTAACCAAGCCACCGGAAGTTAACTATCCTTATTTTACTTCATGCACTTTTGCAACCAGAGGAAGAATAAAACTAGATGGCATGTAACTAACGAGAAAAAATGAAGCTAATTAATAGCAAAAGGTATCAAAGACCGACCTTAAAAAAGAATAGTTATGCATGATATGCAAAAGTGCAATTAGCAATTAGTTCATTATCTTGTAGCGGCTACTGCATTTCTATAGCAAAACAATTTATATATTTTGAATCAAAATCAACATACTCTTCAATCATAAAATAATTAGTGAAATAATAAGAATATGAGTATTTAAGCACCATATAAAAGTTGCAGATCGATCAAAGAACAATTTGACTATATAAAAATCAATAAAATCGATATGAAGAATAAATGTGCAGATTCCCCTACCTGAATATGCTGCCGTATTTGCATACATTATTTCCGACAGAGAGAAATTTTAATTTGACGGATAATTCCAGTAAAAATAAATTAAAATTATCAATCTAAAAAATATGATAATACATAGTGACACCAAATAAATGTGTTGTTCACCTCTAATTCCATTTGATCTTTTTAGAAACATAGGAAAATCTATATAAGACATCGCATGCATATATGAAGCAAAATAAATTAATGAGCGTTTCAGCATTGGAAATTTATATTTCCTCCTCAAAGCCTCCTTTTAATTCTCACATGCTTGTCATGAAATATTTGAAACAGTGTACGTGCTTTGTTTTGGGAACATGACGTGTTTATAGATGTGAAGTTGAAAATTTTTGCAAATCAAATATTCAGAGTCAAGACTCGGGACACTATCAAATTAAGTAGTGTACAGTGATTTAGCAACAGTTTAGTACCTAGCTTGTTTGAATTTATCTCACAGTGCTAACTTCCCCCACTTTCTTTACATTCCATTTGTGATCTGGCAAAGCAAAGAAGAAATTATTTACAACTACTATAGCCAAAGAAAATGTCTTAATTAATTAATGGGCAGGAGAAGTTAAGAAGTATTAAAAAACGAAGATGTATCCTTAACTACCTCATTGAGATCACGCAAGCTTAATTAATATAGGAAGTCTTGCACTGCTGCTATAAAATAAATGTGTCACAGAGACTGGCATTGTACTTCATTTGGATATAAAAACCAAAAATATCAAAAGAAAAATATATAAATATATACAAAAGCCCGATGTAGATAAGCACATGCCAAATGTCCAAAACTATGCAACAACTCTATCTTTTTGTTACTCGTTCTATAAACTATAACAATCAGAGAAATTGAAATCCACAATTAAGTTATACGATCAAAAGTCATCAGACAATTGATTTAATATTTGTTTCTATTAATCAAAGACAAAGGTTCAATTTCTAATTTAAGTATAGAGTTGTAACTAAAGATACCATTTTATTCCTATAAAAGTTAACTAAGAATGAGATGATGACATTGATTCTAGAAAGTCCAAGGATATACCTCATCAATATATAATTTTTTGCTGTTCAAAAAAAAAAATGTACTGACAAAAAACTATTTATTATTAGCTTTCATGCACATATGTTAGTAAAAAAAAAACTCCAAATGTATATCTCTAATTTAAAGTGAAAAAATCTCTTTCAAATTTTGTTTTAGGTCACACTTCCTATTTTGGTCGGTCTTGGTTGAGCCTAGATATATGAATAATCACTCTTTATAATTCTTATTTCGGCTTCAAATTCATTAACATTGTTAAGATCACAAAGATATTATTAGTTTTGAGGCTTATAAGGCCGCCATGTTCTTGCCATTGAAAATGCACTTCAATGGGTTAAAGGAGAAGAGTTATTTTATAAATGATCAGTGGCTTCCACTTCAAAGCGCGATTTAATATGTTGAAATAAACTTCCTAGTCGAGACTAATGGACAAAAATAACTTAAGTCTTCCTTCTAGCACCAATGTTTTGCCTTTAAGTCCACCGACAGCTTTAGGATCACCATATTTGACGTATTATCGGCTTAAGAGTTTGTTGGGTCGTCACAATTTTGTTCTTGAAAAAATATTTTGGTAGGTTAAGGAAAAATAATGTTTGTAAACGACCTTTAATCTTAATTCTTAAGTAATGCGAGACTTTTTAACATATCAAAATAGGCCCTCTAGTTAAAGCTAAGTCGCATGAATGGCTTAGGTCCTCTTTTTAGTACTAATATTTTGACCTTAAATTCATTGGCATCGTTAGGATCACCCTAACCAAAATATTGTCTGTTTTGATATTTATTAGATTATCACAGTTTTTCTTTTGAAAAAATGTCTAGGTGGGTTAAGAAAAGATAATGTTTATAAATAACCTTTAATCTCGATTCTTAAGTAATATGAAACTTTTCAACATACAGAAATAGACCCTCTAGTTAAGACTAAGGGATAAGAACGACTTAGGCCTTCTTGCTATTGTAAATACTTTGACCTTAAGTTTATTGACATTGTTAGGGTCACTACAACCGATGTATTATCCATTTTGATGTTTGTTAGACCGTCATAATTTTGTTCTTGAAAATGTGCTTGGTTGATTAAGAAAAAATGATGTTTATAAACAATCTTTAGCCTCAACTCCTAATTTATGCGAAACTTTTTGACATATCAAAATAAGCTTCTGAATAGAAGTTAAGAAAAAAGAGTGACCTACGTCCTATTTTTAGCTTCAATATTCTAACCTCAAATTTTTTGATATTGTTAGAGTCATTGTCTGTTTTAGCGCTCGTTGAACTTTCATAATTTTGTTATTGAAAAGACGTATCAATTAATTAAGGGGAAAAGTGTTTATAAATGATCCTTAACCCTTTGTTTCGATTCCTAAGAGATATGAAACCTTTTGACATAGTGAAACAAACTCCTTAGTTGCGACTAAGAGACAATAATGACTTATCCTCTTTCTAACACTAACATTCTAACCCCAAGTTAGTTGGTATTGTTAGAGTCACATAATTTATAATATTATCTATTTTGATACTCATTAGGCGATTATAGTTTTCCTTAAAAAAGTATATTATTGGGTTAAAGGAGAAATATATTTTTATATATAGAAAACTATTGACTTTATCTCTTAAGTAATATGAAACTTTTTCATATACCAAAACAATTCTTTAACTAAATTATAAACTAATCAAAATTAGTATCAAGCGGTAATATCAATAGTTGAACAATTCAACACTAGCACATTAACTATTGGGATCTAACTCAGTGGATTGAATAATGTGTGTGAGATGTTGCAAACTCAAGTTTCATTCCTATAATTTCAAAGAGAAAGAATTGGCACATTGAGAATTCAAATTTCAGAAAATAAAAAACAAAAGGCTAATTAAACCATAAAACATGTAGACTATTATTTGCATTGGTCAAAAAGAAACTGCAGACACATAAAACCAATAAATGTAGGTATAGACTTGCCAGCAGGTGATGCAGATCAATTCTCAATTGAATCAATATTGCAATTCACTTACTCTAATATTAGCAAGAAAAAATGATGCAACTTTCCGTTACAGAATGCATAATAATGAATTTTCTAATCAGGACAAAATACCTATCTATTTGTGTACTGTGTCCGTTGTGCTCCATCGTCTTCGAAAATTTTCCCTCTGCTGAAAAAGACAGTTAAAAATTGCAATCCAGTATCTGCAAAACCGTATAAAGTGCACAAAAAGTCAAAAATTGGTATGGCATTGAGAGTAAAGGGTAATAGGCATAAGAACTTAAGAAGAGGCTTCTATGTGTGGAAGATAGGGCTACGGATACAAAGGGGCAATAAGAGAGAGATGCGAGTTTAGAAACGTAATATTGTTATATGTTAACCGTGAATAACTACAAACCCATAAAATGTGGAAGAAGGGGAAATAAATGCATATTTATCTCTGCTAAAACAGCAGAATAACAGAATCACTTGAATCGCCTAATGGTGGTGTTTGGAAAGATTCGGAAGGCCTGCATTATAGGACAAATTTCTAAGTTCCACATCACATACGCTGAAGTGGCAGAATTATACTATAATAAAGTTTGCAGAAATTAAACAATAAAGTCAAAGAAATATAAATTGGTCACTTTATACAAGAAAACAAAATAGAAAGTCATGTATTAATAGTTGGACAAAGTATTTGCTTTTGTTGGTCTAACTTTTATGTAAAGAAAATTAAAATGTTAATATAGATATTGTAAGCATATATTAATAATCTAGTGCATCAGAAATTGATATATAATCTAGTGCATAAATTTTTTTTTGTCGAATATAAAAAAGATTACAACAAAATAAGAAAAAAATATTTCCTTTTTTGTTCATTCGTATGTGGATTTTTAATTTTGTAGTGATGTTCACAAATCTATAACATTAAAAGTGCATGAATTTAAGGATATATGTATAGTATTCCATATTTAATATAAGAGAAGGCGGATCAAATCCTCATCACCACTTGATATTAAAAAGAAACATGAAATACCTTTATCTTCTTATACATATAACTCTTTCTAGTATCTTTCTTGATTTTTTTATTTAATTTTATCCTAATTCCTACCTTATTTTAAATAAAGAAAAAATCTGAAAATTTTGGCTATCAGCCCACCTCTAGATGTATTGAACATTTAGAGTAGATATATATATTAGCATAAAGGGTCAACACTCAACAAGGTGAGAATTTTAGGAAAACGGTGTGTTTGGATGAAAAATTTTACAAATTTAAAGAATTTTCGGCGGAGTCTGCCGAATATGTCGACATCATCTAGATGGTTACGGAGAGATTAACTAACATAATGCACAGGATTAAACCCCTAATTTTCCGGGGCCCAGTCCCTAATTGCAGCCCAATAAGAACTACTATAAATAGGACCCCAATGAGGTATGTAATTAATTCTGAACTACCGCATTTATTACGCCGAGCACTAACTTGAGCGTCGGAGTGTCTTTGCAGGCACACCCCCCTTTTTCTCTACTTCGGACCATCCGGATTGGAGCAACGAAACTGAGACCGAAGAACCGACCCGTCACAACGAAGATAATTGAAGTGTGTATCCTAAAACAGGAACAATATGTAAACTGATCATATATTACACGGACCAAAAAAATTATATTATAACGTCTAAAACAAAATAATAAAACTAAAATAAAATTTTAAAAAATTATGAATATCATTTAAAAATATATATATAAGGACCAAACATTAAAAAAGAATAGAAATATATTGTGGAGACAAAAAAATATTTAAATCTTTATTTATTTTTATGCTATTATTTTAACTTGCATATAATATATAGGATAAAATTATATTTTTTAGAAAGTATTTTTGAAGGACTATTTTAATTATTATGAAAATTACTTTTCAAAAGTATATTTTAAAAATCACAATATTCAATTTTTAAAATTATTTATGGTAATAATAAAAAATAGTTTTTAATTTATCATTCACCGTAAAATCAATGGATCATACTTTTCAAAATGACAACTAAAAAAAATTCACAATCTTATTTCTACTATGTGCAGTATTGAAGATGAGATAAAAAATTATGAGTTTAATAAAGATAAGTAATAAGTGTCTTGATTGTTAATGACAAAAATTTAAGAAAAAAAAAGTAAAAATAAAATTTCAACAAAGTGTGGTTAGAAAGAATTAAAGTAACCAAAGAAAAAAAATTGGAGAGAAAAAAGGTGTGAATGAAGAAAATAATTTTTAAAAATAAAATTTATTTAAAAAGGAATAATATAAATTAAAAGATATTTAAGTAACTTAAAAAAAAAAGAAAAAAAAAAGAGACTATTTATTTAAAAGTGAAAGCGAATATATCATTTGCCTTTACTTTTTGTTAGCTTTTTTTTTTTATTTAATCCTGTTTCTAGTAGGTTAATGTGGTCTCGTTTAATTATTATTGTGAAGACACAAATTACAGAGAAGAATAAAACAAATTTAGTTTATACAATTATTTAAACTCCTGTAATATACCCACAAAAAAAAACTCCTGTAATTATTTTGAGAAATTACTATCTGAAAATTTTGTAGAAATATATAAAATTTAAATATGTTTTTAGTCTCTCAAATTTAGGATAAATTTATTTTTGTTCCCTCAAATTTAAAATTATTGTTTTGAGTCATTGTAATTTCAAAAAATCTTATTTTAGTCCTTATATTTAAATTTATTCAAAAATTTATCAAATATTATTGCATAAAAACTACTTATTAATATTTTTGTTAGTGAAAATATCACATTAAATCCAGTTAATATTGCATAATCATCTTAATTTATCACTTTCATATATGTTATTGATGAACTAAGAGACTAAAACAAGATTTTTGAAAATTACAGGAATTAAAAATAATAATTTTAAATTTAAGAGATCAAAAAAAAATTTATCTTAAATTTGAGAAACTAAAAATACATTTAAGTCAATATATCACTACTAGAAAAGTGTCATTTTCCTGCGAATTTTTTTGCAAAAAAATATTCGCAGAATTTTTTTTGAATTTTCCTGCAAAAAAATATTCACAAATTTTTTTTGCGAATTTTCTTGCAAAAAAATATTTGCAAACATTTTTTACGAATATATTTGCGAAAAATAATTTATAGATATTTCTTACAAATTTTGCTACAATTTTAATGATCATAGAAATTTTTTTCTATGGTAAAAATTTGTAAAAAAATATTGTAAGAATTTTATTTTGTTTCTTTCAAATTTTCTTGCAAAAATAAATTCGCAAGTAATGTTTACTAAATGGTAAAAAATTTCGCAGGTAACTTTTCTTGCGGATTTTCCTGCAAATTTTAATTTGCAGGAAAAAAATTAAATTTATAAGTTTAATATTTTAAAAAAACTTCAAGTCCTACATCGATTAAAAATAAAATAATTAAAGAGTATATAAGTTGGGACAACACTTACCTTACAAGTTGATTTGTATGGTTGAGTGTTAGGCTTATAATCTATGATCTTAGAATTTAAAAGATTATGTATCACATGTTAGAGGCATGAAAACAAATGTTTCGGATGAATTCATTGTGAACATTTGAAATTTGAAGAATTATGGATAGAATTTATAGTAATTTCTTTAATTTTTTTCGTAAAAAATATTCCTGTAGAATTTTTTGCGAAAAAACTCGCAGAAAACTTTCCTGCAGATTTTCCTACGAATTTTTTTTTGCAAGAAACTTTCCTACAAATTTTTTTTTTGCAAGAAACTTTCCTGTGAATTTTTTTCGCAAGAAATTTCGCAGGAAAATTTCGTTCGAATTTTAGAATTCGCAAAAATATATATTATCCAAGAAGGTATTACCTGCCGTAATTAATTCTGAACTACCGCATTCTTAGATTTCAAATTCTTTATAAATTCTCTATCCAAATAAGGTATTTCACCTCAAAAAAATTTGAAATTCTTCAAATAAATGAATTACTCCATTTAAATTTCTCGTCCAAAAGAGTAATAATGCATAACAAAAAAGAGGTACTTACTTACATGTGTGCCCTGTTCTTAGTGAAGGCAGTCCTGGCTTTAGATGCAGAGAATGATGAGTTAAGAAGGCAGAGTGGGACGATGGAGATTTGTGATAGTAAGTGCGTGAAAGTGAAAAGCAGAATTGGAGAAGAGGAATTCAAACTGCATTGGTATAGTGGGTAGAGAAGATTGGTGATTAACCAGGGGAAGGTTTAATTTGTATGAATTTGAAATTGACAAGTGGGAGATGGATGCATGAATGCATGTAGTGAGTGGAATGGAATGATATAGAGTGTGTTGTGTCCAGGTACATTTTGGGTACACCAGGGACCTCACTAATTACAATCCCAGCAACTCAACTTGCTTTCTAACTCTGATACTATGAAATTGGACGAATCAAGAGAAAAAAAAATCAGGAATTGGGTATTGTACGTCATGCTCTGCTACCGTGCATGCACCAAACTCCTATCGGAACAAGTGCCAATTTCAAGCACCCAACCAGTACGGAACTTACATTACTGTTCAAGTCGTTACATTAATTTTTATCTTAAAATATTATATTTTACATATTCTAATTTTATATATTAAATTAATTAATAATTGTTTTTAATATTTACGTTTTTTTTTTTATATGTGATCATGATTACTAGTTTTTATTTTCAAAAAAGAATTATCTCTATTAATATAAGATTTCGGATTTGTTACTGTAATCAATTGAGTTTAATAATTTAATAATTTTTAATTAAATTATTAATATGTATTTAAAAATATTATATTTTATATCCCTAAATTTATATAGAACCTACTAATAATTATTTTTTATATTTTTATTTTGTTCTTTATATATATATGTTGATGATTATTAATTTTTATTTTAAAAAAATTATCCTCGCTAATCTAAGATTTTGAATTCATCACTATAGCCAAGTATATATTGTACAAAGAGTTATTTCTTGTAATTAATTATATAACCCCCATTTTATATTTATATCATCCAACCTATTTAGAATAATTGTTTATTTTTTATATATAATTAAGATCTAATTTATATTGTTTCATATATTAAATATTTTTAGATTAAAATATTTTTAATTAAAATATTATTTTTAATTTGATAAAATACATTAATTATAAATTCTTTTAAAAAAATAAATACACTAATTAGTTAAAAAAAAGTGAGGATTAATTAAAAGACATAAATAGTATAAAATATATTTTTTAATTAGTTAAAAGATATATAAGTATTAATTACAAAAGAGAAATATTATAAGGATAACTTTGGATTCAAAAAAAAAATAAGAGTAATTTTAGAAAAAGAAATATTAATAATTTATTTTATTGTTATCAATTATATTAATTATTTTTCTTAATTTTGATGAATTGGATATTTAAGTCTTAAATAAAAGAACAGAGATAATAATATATTTTTAACTTTTTGTTAATTGATAACGTTAGTTATTTTAGACTAAAGAAATATATCGATACGTCGAGTCAACTTTATATAAAGGCAAAGTCCAACTTAAAAGAAAAGTTTGTAACAAACTAATTAACATGTTACAGGTTAAAATAAATATAAAACATCTCAAGTTGAACTTATAAAAGCTTAATACAGCCTATACTAACCTCAATTGACATTATTAATTAAAGTACTATATTGTTAATTAATCAAGTAATATTTCAGTACTATTTCAAATAATGTCAAATAAGAGAATAACATTATATCTGTTCATAATTTTTATTAGAGTAATTTTTTTTTTGCATTTTTCTTTATCATATATATCGTTATTCTTATTTCTGTCATCTCTTTCCTTATCATGAAAAAAAAACTAAAAAATTATTGTAACATCTGCTGAAATTATATGGTATAAATCGTAATATTTCATGAACCCGATGCAATATTCTATTGAACCTTAATAGAATATTCTATTTATGAAATAGAATCTTATAAGCAAAGGAAGAGATGAGCGACGCCAATTTGAGTGAAAGTCAAAGATTTTTGGAAATCGTAATGTGGCTGGTGACGAGTGTGAGTGCGTGACCCAGCTTTCGAAATTCAATAACGTTGTTATGTGACGTTTATCGGTCAACTAAACTAATCTTGTAGAGTAACTACATATTTGCTTCAAATTATTTTCCAATTATTTATTTATTTACCAACTTGATAAAAATATCAGACTCAATTATTTTTAAAAACAATTTATATTAAACAAGCACTTGGTATCTATTTATATTTGTTCCAGTAAGAGGATAGCAGCCGGAAAACCCTTAGCGATGTAAACCCTAAGAGAACCTAGCCGCCATCCAGACCTAGAACATTCAAGAATCAGAATAACCTGTCTGTTTCCAGTCGCTTTTTCCTTATTTCTATGGGTCATATACGCGTGATTCGTATCATCGATCCTCATTCCCTTAAATGCGTGCGGATCCCCTCTCTAATGAGCCTATGATCCACATTTATGATCGCAATCAAATCTTACGCAAGAATTACGGAAATCACAATCTTGATTAGTTTTACCAGAATTCACTCATCCATACACCTATGACTAGCCTAAAGTTCGAGATGTTCGGTTGGATGGGGATTAAGAAGATATGTTCTGTTCGGACTGCTCGGAAAATTAGAGATCAGGAGACGTTGATCGGTCAGATCGGCAAATTGGAGACTCGAAGGATACACAGCCCTCTTGGCTCGAGCGCTCATGACGTGTAGAGATATTGATCGGTCAGGTCGGCAGCATATTGGAGACCCGAAGGGTACACAACCCTCTTGGCTCGAGCGTTGGTGACGCGTAGAGTCATTGATCGGTCAGGTCAGCATATTGGAGACCCGGAGGGTACACAGCCCTCTTGGCTCAAGCATTGGCGATGCGTAGAGTCATTAATCGGTCAGATCGGCAAATTGGAGACTCGAAGGGTACACAGCCCTCTTGGCTCGAGCGTTGATGACGCATAGAATCATTAATCGGTCAGGGCAAATTGGAGACTCAGAGGGTACATAGCCCTCTTGGCTCGAGCGTCCATGACGCGTAGAGTCATTAATCGGTCAGGTCGGCAAATTGGAGACTCGAAAGGTACAATATTCAAAATATTTATTTTTTAAAATAATATTTAATTAATAAAAAAACACATCTCGTAGACACATACTAGTCATTAGCTATTAATTTTAAAACACCACATAAATCATGTTCATACAAAAAAAATTATGTATGTAATTTACAGGAATTTTATTAACTATAGTTATGTTCTCGGAATTGTTACTAAAACCTCAAATAAGTTTCTAAGATTTTAATAAGAACTCTGGATAACATTATTTTTTATTTCAATTAAAATTTCACCATCTTCAATAAAATTTGGACTCCCCCTCTTCCTACCTTTTTTTTCTTTCTCGATATCCTTTTTTTTTTTTTTCCTTTCCTTTAATTCCTAAGTCATTAGGTTCAATCACTAAGTCTCAGGACTCTCTAATCTTCATTGTCAGTCCTCGCTCTCTACCATTGGTTTCCTATGCTCTATTGTTGACTGTCTACTCTGTTGTTAGTACAATACGTTCTCTGGTTCCTTCAATCCCTAAGTCTTCAATTCCTAACCCATATATTGTCTACTTTCACCATAGGCTTTGTATACTCTCTGTTATCAAATCCAAACTCGATTGTTTAGTCTCTACAATCACACACTACAGGTACATAGTTATGTTTTTCGCATGTCTTTGTAGTGCAAAGGAGTATGGTTATGTACGATTGCCCAAGAGAGGGTTTTCTTGTGCTTTATGTTTGGGGTTTTAGGATTATGGTTGTGTTAATTTCATACTTTGTATTTTACATATCTATTATTTGATTTATTTTACTAGTTTTATTTTATATAACAAAAAGGTCATTATAAAGTAGATTTTTTACATTATATAATACAAGCAATGATATATGTAAAGAATATCTTGTGTAATATTAAATGTACATGTATAAGAAAATATTTTTAAAAAAGTATTAACAAGGGTTAGATAACCCACAGAAAGTACTTGCGATTTACAAAACGCAATATATATATATATATATATATATATATATTCTATATTAACATGGCTTATATGACCCTAACATATTTTGGGGGTCTCAAACCGTAGACAAGAGTTATAAATACTAGTTATTTAATGGGGTTACATAACCCTAATTATCTATTAGGGGTTAAAAACTACAATTACATAATAAGGGTTTTTAATCGTTAGGAAATTCACAACTTTCCAAGGGTTGTTAGAAATCTTAGTTAACACATTCTGACAAATAATTTGGTGATGATATACAAAATAGAAAATAAAATATATTTAACAAGGTTAAAATCCTAATTAAAGTCAAAATTAACCCGCCAAATCTTTTTTGTTTTTAGTGAAATGAAATAGAGATGATCCACAATTAGTGGAGAATGTATTTATGTCTCCGAAAACATAATAATAAAAGAAATGAAGTCCCTTCAAAAAAAAATGAAGTGAAAAAGAAATCCAAACAATATTATACACTTATTATAACTCATTTGAAAATATGAATAAGATAAATTCTATCGATCGTGAGATAATTTATTGTTTACACACAGCAAAATATGACATTTTATCTAATCTCTTATCCTATTGTGTTAGTTTAGTATACTTTTTATCTAAAGCAGTGAGTTGTAATAGGAAGCAACACGATTAATTAGTTCTCATTCTTCCTTTCTCTCTCTATATATATATATATGTCATACATTATATATACTATATATACTATATCATATATATATATATATATATATATAATACAAAATTATAATAACAAAGTTATATTATAATATAATATATAGTATTAAATATTAATTTAAAAAATATATAAAATTATATATTATATAATATCAATGTATATAGTAATATATAATATTATTTATAACAAGGATACCTTACTTTGATCTCTATTTTTTTACACGTTTATATTCTTTTTATTATATTTTATTATTTTTCCACCAACATATCTCTTAAGGATAAAATAGAGAAAAAAAATGTATATAAAATTTATTCACTCCATCAATAATAGCTATTCACTTATAACTCTTTAATCACTATTTTTGTTTAAGACTATTATACCTTTTACTAACTATACATTATCTCACTTAATATACATATTGTAACCTTTATTTTTTATTTTATTTTATATTTAGACAAAATATATAAAGGCATAATACACACATATTATATAAATTTTGCATTTTACATTTTATCTT